GAACATGGAGGATTGCACCCAGACTATTATGACACAATCGGTTATTCTTGTTGTCATTTCTGGCCCATTCCTGTTTGTATTCGACTTACGTCTCGACGTACTAGACTTACGTTTGTATTTGACTTACGTCTCGACGTACTAGATTTACGTTTGTATTTGACTTACGTCTCGACGTACTAGACTTACGTTTGTATTTGACTTACGTCTCGACGTACTAGACTTACGTTTGTATTTGACTTACGTCTCGACCTACTAGACTTACGTTTGTATTTGACTTACGTCTCGACCTACTAGACCTACGTTTGTATTTGACTTACGTCTCGACGTACTAGACTTACGTTTGTATTTGACTTAGGTCTCGACGTACTAGTTATTCGGTCACCAGGGGAGGAGGGAATAAATCATTAGCTCAATATGTTCGTACATCTTTAACTGTGTCAAGAAGCGAGAAGAAGCTGAACCTGTAAATAGTAGATCACATTAGTATGTATAGTTTGTGTCATTGCTGTATTCTTTTTCCCTGTTTATCCATGACCTGTACTTAGCTTGTTAGAGCACAAACGTACAATAAAGGTCTTTCATTCTAAATAAAAATCCGCAATTACCGTCGTCATCATCACGGTCGTGCTCCTGGTTGGATGGTTGTTTACTAAAGACTGACAATAAACTTTATTGTATGACCTATGCACAAGGTACAAAATATGGCAGCTCTATTTGTACCACAAAAATGGTGAGACATTTCAAAGGGTAGTGTAGTGTTAGACGAGAGGCATACATCCTCGTTCCGATGAAGTTGTTAAAGACTGCGCTGCCACCATGGCGACGACAAATGACATGGGACATCGCCTGGTAAAAATTGAAATGGAAATATTAATGACATTACCTACAGGTGACAATATTCGGCGTCACTCTGGAATGCTGAAAACGCCTTTCCACGCTTGTAAAAGCGTGACGAGAATAGATTGGCGTGGTCTTTCGCTGACGTAGGTCTGTAACTATGCAATTAACCTCGACTGTTTGAAAAAAAAAACTCAAAATAGTTTCCCTGTTCTGTGTCGTCCTTACTCTTACAAAATCGTGAGCGGAAAAGCTATTGTACAATTTTCTAACTGATTGTCCATTAAAAATAAGTGTTGTTTATTATTATAAAGCCATATGATAAAGAATGGTTTGGTGGCCTCATTTAGCCTGTAGAGAGGTATTGCGTCACTAAGTTAGGGCCTGGTCATACACAATGGGTCGTCCTACAATTCTAATGTCGTCAAATGTTCCGAACAGGCTGTCACAAAAACAAATGCCAACAATAAGGACGAGTGACATGAGTAGTCACTATGACAACAAGGACAAAAGAAATGACGCAGGTAGCACGTGCATGGAGGCATGGTATCCTTGAGAAATATATCGCATGAATTAATGACTGAGGGGACCGAGTCTTTATGTGATAATAATGGATCTTTATTTGCATGTCCATGCCCATGGGGCTAAATGCATACATCAGAATGTGATGTAACATGTACATCGTACTGAGTAACATGATACATAGGATACACGGATAACAGAATAACAGAATGACGTAAAAGTCTTAACAACTACTAGAGAATAAACTAAACTAGGCCTTAAGGATTTCTTCTCTCTTTTTAAAGCAATTGTAGATAAATTCACAAAGTTTTTCTATTGTATGGTCATTACTAGTGGACATGAGATGACTGAATACCTCTTTCTTTGTTCTACCTTTATACAATTTGTCTAAGTGGATTGTTCTAAATAGTGTGTCACGTTCAATATCAAACATTTTACAATCAAGTACAAAATGTATTTCATCTTCGCTACCAGAGTTACAAACCTTACAGAGTCTATCTTCTACAGGAGTCCGGTTATGTTTATTCTTTATTTATTTATTCCACTTCACAGAATTCCACTTCACAGAAGTTAAAATTCTGAGGGGAGACGGCAACAGGAACAGCATGTTCCTCTCCGTGGCCGACTCCCCTACAGACACATGAAAATACACACTAATAAATACTAGCAATTAAAAAATGTAAAAACAAATACAAATAAAACAAGCATAAATTAACAGTCGCTAGGTGGACAAACAGATGGCACATCGGCAAGTGGAGGTCCAGGTACATACGTTTTCCGTTATAAAGGTGTCGTTTAGGCGGGAAGTGTGGTGAGATATTAACAATAATTTACCAGGTGAATGAACCGTCCCTGGCTGTCATTCAAATTCGATTCGGCCAATAACAGGATTTTGTAGGGCCTTGCTAAGGGAGTCGTGGCTTTGGGAATAGTCTAACCTTACAAATACATGTATTTTTAAGAAGATGAAAAGGTTTTAATTCAGTATGCACGTTTAGGACTATCATTTCAGACCAAGTTGTAGCTAGGTGTAGAACAAGGTCGGGGATGGTAAAGACGGAAAAAGTACTTTTCAACATTGCAAACATTCAAAGTACTGAATCCGTTTCGCATCTGATAAGAAGCCTACATGTTGTTTACTTACTTTTCTTAGTGCAAAAGCCGGCTCGTTGACTTGATAAGCTGGGTTGATACTGACCTAGAGCGGAGAAATTACCAGTTTTAAAATTTACAGAAAAAAAACACAATGAAATAACGTTGTAAGGCACCATCGCTTCCTGTAGAAAATTATATTTTGAATCGAGCGACTTATCGAGACTAAGCATTACTATAGATGACTGCAAGCTTTGTTCAAAAGTTTTATACTAATAAAAAGTATGTAATTATTATAATTTTCTAACGATGCAAAACAAATACTAGTATCTGTATAACTAGATCATGACTTGATAACTCAACTGAAACTTAGTAGTCGCAGTTGCTTGTTCTTGTTAAGTCAAAGCTCATTAATTTCTTGGCGATGCTTACCATGATCAAGCCAGCCCTGGCCGTGGCGAACTGTGTTAAAACCCACTCAAGGGTGTTGGGTGCCCATATCCCCGACCTGTCACCCTTCCTGAGTCCCAGGGCATCCAACCCAGCGGCCAACTGGTCACACTGCGGACAAACACAGAGTATGATCAGTCTTGCCGTGAGCATATGTCGGCAGAACGTACGCTTCATCATTATCAGTCGATCGTTTATATCACCCTTTCGTTAGCTTAAGGTCGCAGGACACAGTATTAATGGGCGACCCCCTAGTCTATGATGTGAGTATAGAAAGTAGTGCGGACAAAACTCTTGAATCCTGGCTAAAATGAATTAAGTGAGAGGTAGCCAGGAGTAAACTACGCTGTGTGGTATAGAAATGTATCGGCCTGTAGACCGTATGGTTTGGATTGTGAAGATTTCCCTGCTCGTGTATAAATGCGCCGTAAACTGCGTTCCGGGGTGAGCCGACTGCAGTTCATGATCAGTTGACCTCCGCAGATGGCCATATAAAAGAAGTCGTCAAAATGTTTGAAAAAAAAACATAACTTTTTGGCGACGCCTCAGGGGCGGAGCCGTTGGTATAGTACTGCGATTGAGTTGAAAATATTCTAAGAATTCCGCCAATGCATTCCCTAGGGAATTGCTTTTTGGCTATACCTTGTGGGACTTATTCTCCAAGCAGAGGTTGGAGGGGAAGATCGTTACCCCCGCTAACGATCATCCCCACCAACCTCTGCTTGGAGAGTAGTGGGACCAGCCTTTACACATAGGCTTGTGGCATGAGACATGCAGTAGTCTGTACAGTGTTTCTACGATATTTATTTTATTTATTTATTTCAGCTTCATTACAAAGTATGTAATTGGACAGGGGGAACAGGTCTAGCCTTTGTCTTAACTATGTGATGATAGTGATGTTTTGTGTAAGGGATTTTATTCATTTGTGTGGGTGTTTGCGTCAGTATTGCTTTTTTTCATTCTTGGATTTTTTTTGCTTTCACGGTGCTGCTAGCCTGGGTGCCATCCGAATTTGCCCGTAGCCGTTACAAATTCGGATGGCACCCAGGCTACGATGCTGCTGCATTCAATGCTTATTTTTCTTGCGTGAAAAACTCGCATGCACACCCCGATCCTTCCACAACTTGGCGTCGTGAATTCCTGCTGTAGTCTGCATCTCAGGATGGACTTGGCGAAGTTTACCTGTGGTCAGCAAGAGAAAACAGAACATAAATGAATCTATGCCAACCTTTCCCTAGCTTTGCTCTTAAATTAACAAGATTTAGGGTCATGTTTTTAGAAGTAAATGTAAATATGCAAAGCATGTGAGTCAATACATTTTACAGAATGCAATGATGCGCACATCAAACTAAACAAAGGTTGAAAGTCATATGTATGTTCATTCATCAAGAACGATGTTACAGTACAATAACACATGAACTACATGTTCCCCAGATCAACAGAAACGGCAAATATATTGTGTGGACTTACCGCTGTTTTTGTCCTTCTGTAAATGGTACTGTTAGTCCATCTTGTCAGTGAATGTCGAGTGAATGAGGGGCACTCGCTGTGGGCACACAGTGAGAAAGAGAATGAATAAATTTATGCCACTTCTGCCTTTCAAGAGACTCAAAAGGAACACCGATTGGAATCTCTGCCGGTAGATATTCTGATCAGAGTCTCAGCTGTTACAATCATTACATTTTACTGTACAGAAATACATGCTATTTAGGTTTTACGACAATCACAAACTATTTAAATTATACCGGCAGCTACCAGCAATTTCATTGAATGTTTAACATTTAGGATATGTTATTATATCATAGCAATAGACTTCTTCCAGATTGGAGTTTCTACCCAGCCTCAGGTACTGTTGTAAAGAATTTGACCTGAGAAAAGGCTGCAGGACTCAGGGCCTGATGTAGGGTGGGAAAATACTGGCACGTTGTTGATATAATAATCAATCTGGACAGGTAAGTCTTATCAGAGGGGAGAGGATATTACTTGTAGGTAAGGGTTGGAAATCCTGGAGGAACATGTAAGGTGGTTAAAACTTTACGTAAACAAAATTCCGACGCCCTCTTACATGATAAAAGATAACAGATGTTTGTCCATCTCACCAGTGAATTCCTTTTGTAGCCCGGGAGTGGGCATGGGCATGGCGTAGCTCACCTGCGGGGACAAAGAGAGAAAAAGAATGAATAAATTGAAGCCGTTCCCAGAGAAACAAATGGCATTGGCTTCCATTTGTAAATATGTGTCAGGATAGACACCCCGGAAACTTACGGTGGAACATGTCAAGTTGCTGAAACTTTACGTAAACAAAATTATGACCTACACTAAAATGATGAAAGATAACAGGTGTGGTAAAGCAACTTAAGAATACGTACTTGCTTAGTGCCCATCAATATGTCATAATGATCAATTGGATCAGTAATAACATTGAAAGTAGGCCGCGTGGGCGACGGCGTATGCCGACACAAACGCATATAAGGGGGCACACCCCAGTTTATGTTGGGTCACAATTCGATTCTGCACACCCTCAACTCTATTTCAGGAAATAATTCTTAAGCCGAAACACTGTTTGCAAATGAAGGATATCCCTCTAGCTACGAGAACAATCGAATTTCAGTTTCCATAACCTCTCAAATTGTAGCAAATTTTAGGGCAAAAAAGAATTTTCGATGAAAAAAAAATGATGCCAAAAATTGGGCATTTTTACGTGCAATTAAACCCATCACCAATAATTTAGCCACCAAAATGACTTATACTGTCGAAAGAGAATGTATGATCAAGAAAAATATACAGAAAATCCTAACACTGAGATTATCACAATAGCCCGTCGCGCGACACATAGCGACAGAACCCCCAGAACACATAAAAGGCATATCTGGGTCAAACCGAAGCACCGCACTCAAGGCGGAAGGACGGGCGGGAAGTAAGCCTCGAGCCCAAAATCAATTTTCAACCCAAAGACGCCACTTTTTACACTTTCTAGCAATGTTAGTAGTTTAAACTACTAACATTTTAACTACTAAATAACATTTTGCAGCAGATTACTAGAAATGTGACCATCGAAACCCCTAAGTCACTTTTTTACCGCGCACTGCCACGGATAACGTTACAATTTCAAAACTAGTTGACACAATGAGACGCGGTTGACGAAACGCTTTATTTTAACGAAACGCTTACTGACCGAACACAGCGCTAACTGAAATAGAAAACAACTGCTATGTGGTGACCGGTGTAAGAGGGGAAGTACAAGTACAACAAAATGTTGTTGATTTAATCAAAACAGCAAGGATCGTGATTATTACATCTCATGCACCATGTATAGTCGAACAACAAAATACCGTCTCAAACTCACAATATGAAATAACTAAAGCGAACAAGAATGGAGTCCTAATTCTATATTGTATGTCTGTTGGTAAGGAATTGAATTGGATTGGATTGGATTGAATTGTGTGTATAAAGCGAGCAAGAATGGAGTCCAACCTTGTGTGTACCACATACATGTTTATATCGACATAATGTGAAGATATGCCACGATGACGAAACGCCTGCTATACTTCCTGGGTGAGCCTACTGTACTTCCTCACCTGACAGGCGGCCTCTCTGACAGACGTCGTTAAAAGGATATTATGATAATAATAAATATTACACACGTGCAAGTCGATCTACACTGCCCTACTGGGGCCCGGTGCAGGAAATGGTAACTAACCAGACTGACCAACTACAGGAAGTAAGCTAAGACCTTGTTCCAACAATGTTATAACAAGTGGAATCGATAAAATGAACGGGAGATATGATCAACCAAAGTCAGTCTAATTTTCAAGGAAGAAATCGTGGCGAGACTCAGCCTGCAGTCGAGTGTCTATATCCTACTGTACAGAGGACTTTTGGGTGAACGATAACAAAACTCACGTCCATAAATCAAGCCATGCCGATAAAAATCGCCTCAAGACGATTTACATATGAAGTATAGTGCATAAGACCGGTGCCGATGTACCAATGCAAGCACCTTTCTTTCTCCCGTTTTCCGAGTTACCGAGTTCTCCTGGCCTCCCCGTATCCGGGCCCATTTCTCGTCAGCTCGCCAAACAACTAGCCTACTGAGCCCCCGTAAAACAAAATAAAAACAAGCGACTACGGCATTAGTAGCATGTGACAATCCAGAACGTCAATACAACAAAAAAGACCGTTCGACGGAAATCAATGACCTAAAAACATTAAATGCCTTGCGACACAATGCATCTTCATATCCCCTTCACTTCCCATGGTCCCTCAACTTTCTGTACTGTGCCGCGGCCATCGAATTCGTGAACACCATGCTTTTGTAATGGGAGTATATAAAGAAATAAAAAAAATGGCTGAATAATATAATAATAGTGATGAATGAAAGGTTCATTTAACTTCAGCGTAAGCCATGACCAACCGAGATTTTAGAAATCTACATGTATAGAGACCAAGCGGCGGTGCTAAACAACCCAATCCACATCCAAAACAAAGACGAAGGCAGTTTCTGCTAGATTTCTAACCAGTCGGATTGTACATATTCTTACAAAATTATTTAGTGCGGTTTCATGTTAAAAATTGCCGGGCGAAATGTGTAAATAAGTTGACCATATCCTCCTCACATTATGAAAAGAAAATGTCGGTCAAAGCGCTCAAATTTTTGTAATTGTCGACCTACGATTTAGTACAAGTCCCCCAGTCTGATATTTGTACGTAACTTGTATGGAACTCTTTCCTGATTGAGATGAAATTTTTATCCGAAGAAACTACAAGCACAGGGAGGCTAATGGGTGTGCTCACAAGGAACGGTGCACGTGGAAATATTGTTTACTTGTACTCTTATATCGGGGTACATATTGGGCCACGGAGAAGGACAACTTACCAGTACTGGCTTCAACTCACCTTCGGAGTCGGCTCGTCCCGGCGCCCGCCCACAGGCCTGGCCGCGCCCGGCCCCCATCTGACCCGGTCCCCATCTGGCCCGGTCCCTCGCCCGGCAGACTGTCCGCTCCCCGGGAGCGGCTCACGCGTACGGAAAGTGAAGCATTATCTTGCTGGTGGTCGCCTGTACTATCTTCTACGGGCTACGTTTCGAGTTTTATACTCGAGTATACGTCATCAAGGGTGACATAATGTGTAACACCCCTGATTGGTTAAAACTTCACATACCTCGTTAATATAATAAAATATTCAAATGACAATTGCTGAGTCGACAGTGAGGGAAGTCCAGGAGATTGCATCATGCTGCCATATATAGAACGGTCAGCTGCGGTCAAGCCCTGACCTACTTATCAGCAATCCGCTTGTGGGTATGTCCCTTTTGCGACAATGCCCTGTCATATATAAGAAAATTACCTTTCTGAAATACATAATTTTGAAGTTCGTAGATCGATTACAAAGATGAGAATTTCTAGCCATAAATTGAATAAAGAATTAGGAAGATACGAAAAAATCCCTCGCGACCAGAGGTTTTGTCCATTCTGTCCCAATGATATTGAAGACGAACAACATTTTATTTTGAATTGTACACTATATAACGATAAACGCGCAAAGCTGTTCAACCTTCTCTCCGCTTGCTCAACAGAATTCGTGACATTTCATGCTATAGATAAATTTAATTTCATTCTAGAAGGTAATAACCCTTATGTGTACAAATAGGTAAATATATCCACTCTACTATAAAGTGAGGCACGTTCTAAACTATATGTGTATTGTCTTTGATCGGCTCGTGTGTCGTGGCCCTTTGAGGAGTAAAAATGTTGGGGCCGTGACAACCGTGTGTACAATCAATAACAATGATTACCGTGTTTGCCAGCTGGTATAAACACACGGAGTAAAGTCAAGTTGTTGAAAACAACTTGTCCCACCTGAGAATTTAAGAACCGAACGTCACCACGACAACAACATCAACAGACTGATGTTGCCAATATTTTACTTCCGCCGTTTTTTAAACAAAGGAACGGGTAAGGGCTTTGAGTACCACTCACTGAATCCCCTCTTCCGTAGTTGATCAGTCTTTTCAAAGTGTCCGTCATTCAAATTCCTTGCCTTTTTCCTTTGGTGTCCGAATTCCAGAGCAGAAACTGTACAAATACACACGTACGTCAAAAAGTGATTTCTTTCATTTGAAATATTTCAATTTTTGGTGCAAAAATGGTACATAATGGCCCTGTCAAAATAAGGGAAGAAAATGGCTACTTCAGTCTGTTGATGCTGCATGTTCTGATGGAGACGTTGAATCCTTGAAATTCTCAGCTGGTGAGTTGCTGTTTCAACACCTTGACGCTCTTATAATTTGTTTGGTCTCTAGGATCTTCACTTTAATCACTTTTGCAACCACTCCAAAAGAATAAGAACCTAAAATGTTGGAAGGAATTCTAGAGTAGTCTACCAGTTTACACGGCGGCCACGACGCACATATTTACCACTCGAAAGGCCACGACACACCTGCCGACCGAGGTTATATTAGTCTTTACCAGGCTGGAAAAATTATAGCGCCAAATAGAGCGAGTTGGGCCAAATAGAGATATATGTGTGGCAAACTAGACACTACCAAAATGTTCTTGTTTTTCCTTGTGCAAAGGAAATTTTTCTGTCAGCAAGAATGTTATTCTTTCAACAAGAATCTCCGTTTCGAGAAAATTCAAGAAACCCACGTTGTCTTATTCTAAGAATTTTTTCCTACAGCTAATTAACCAATACTTTAGGAGTATCATTCTTGTGGCAAGCATTTCGGGTTCTTACACGAAGAATCTTTTAGCTTTTGTAGTATCAGTTTCTTGAAACTTCTTTCCTTAATAGCATTTCTTGTACCTAGACTACGGTTCTCATACCAAGATTGTAAGCAGAACATTAAAAAGGCTTCTTGAAGCTAGAATAAGTTTCTTGCAGCAGGATAAGTTTTAATGGGTTTTCCAATGCATGTTGCATGGCAGGAAAACCCTTTCTTTCCTCAAGAAAATAATTCTTATACCAAGATTAAAGTTCTTGCAGCAGCAATCCCCTCTAGCGAAACAACTCAACTGGCATGTAATCTTTTTATTTGGCCAAATTCTACTCTTTACAGCCGCTTCCCGAAGCCTGGTAGAGGCTTAGAATGCGCCAGAATGAGCCATGTGATAGCCTTTCAGCAGATGCTCTTTTATGTCCACTTCAATCAGATGGTCGAATATTACACTATTTTAATTCCCTCGGGAGATATGCACAACTATACACAGGCCATACGTCAAAGGGGTCATGAAGAACTGTGACAGGGCCCGTAACACTTCGTATATATATATATACACGTACAATGGGTGGTTTATGATACATGCATTAGTTAGCCTGAGATACCGGTTTTACATGTAGTTACAAACTCTTCTTTGGCAATTTAACGTAGACATATCAAGTTTAAAACACTGCCTTTTTACAGAGCAATTCTTTGCACGACCTCCAGACCATTGAGTGGTTCAAAAATGGGTGTTGTGAACGTGTCGTCAATAAAATGAAATCAAGGTAATGTTTACCATTTTACACGGCGTAACGCGCTCTGATTTGCCAAGATGACGTGGCTGCACAAACACATATTATCAAGTCCGTGAAAAATCTTCATCCAGGATACGTGAAAGCTCGTCCGCTAGCTCTCATAACTATACAATGTGATAGTGGTAATTGCCGGGAATTTAGTATTTATCATACTTCGTTGCCATAGTTCAGTAAAGGTGAAGATCACTAAACACAATTTATTCAAACCCGGTCCTAATTTGCATAATTCATGAGGAAATGGAAAAATATCTCTCAAGTTAAGAGTATATTTGTTAGTATATCCTCGTGAGAAACTTATGACTGGCTCACGTACTAAAACAAGCATCTCCATTAACAATAACCATGATCATCACTCACATCAAAAGTGAATCACGTCGCCGAGGCGTGTTTTAAACGCCACTTTATTTTGTTTGTTTTCATTTATTTTGTAGATTGCAGTGTCAGTTTCAACATATTCGTTTTTCGTGTTTCTTTAGTGCACCGGTTGCACCCTAGCATAATGGACCGTTCCAAATCGAACGCATCGAATCCTATTTCGAATCCCTGTTCTATTTCGAACACCTCCGTCAAACTCAGTGCGGGAAATCTAAAAGCAGCAAACTGAGTTGATGTCTGCTTGATAAAAAACTGCTTGTTTTACATGTGAAACTGAATTGCATGTGGCATTGCATGCACTTTCAAGTTGATTAAGGATGTTCTGTTATTCTTCCAGTTGTTCATAAGCTAGCATTATTGTTTTATGTCCGTGTTTGCGTGCTTGTTTTTCTACTTTTACCACAAATCCCTTTATAAGTTGCGCCCTCTCTCGTGAGTCCCCGTGAGTTTTTATTTCTCATTTCGTTTTTTTCCCAAGCTTGTATGCAGCTGTGATGCATGCATCAAATGCCATGGAAAACCTGTTACAGATAAACGTACTCTGTTTCACACATGTATCGGCTGTTAGTCAGCAACCGGGCACTCTTGTCCACCTACCGTGTGATGTTATGCGGCCAGTCCCGCGTCTGTATTGAGCGAAAACATTTTGCTCTCACTGAAACTACCTCTGTCCCCTCCTGAAATAATTCTACTCTGCGGATGTACTGTTCAACAAATATAGCTTAACCATTTTTTTGTCTCCTGGGAGAGTTTTTCGCTGTCGAAAAATCGACCGTGAAGTTGGGCTGCAAATCGGACATTCTGGCGGCGGCAGTCGGTACTGCCCTTCCCGCGTTGATTTTGACGGACGTGTTCGAGTTGCTAGGGCGTTGCTAAGGGGGGCGTGGCTTATGGAACTGTCCATTGTCCCGCTGTTCAAAATTTGTCCTTCCCATGTATATTTAGTATATTTCACCCATGTATGTAGGTATGGATGAAATATGCCACAAATTACATATTGAAATTGGAAGACATACCGGCACTCCCCTGGAACAAAAATTATGTTAATATTATAACTTGAACAGAATAGAGCACGAACACCATTTTGTAATAGAATGTGAACTGCATAGCAGAGAATGGACTGTATAGGTTTATACAGAACATATACCCCTATTTCATACACTTAAGTACTGTAGAAAAAAATTATATTCCTAATGCAACTAGACAAACCACCCATCGAAAGACATATCTGTTCCTTTATTTCTACAATAACTGAAAAACGAGAAATTGAATTTATATAACGATAGTTAGTTAGTTTTGTATCTGTTAGCTGTATCCATTTATGTTGTTTTGTTGTGACCTGTACTTAGCCAAGTGGGTGGAGTTTGGGATCAATCTATTTAAATTTACCTGGCAATTTCCTGGTTTAGCTATCCAGCATAGTATAGTGGGAAACACGTCATAGTTATAGTCAGTTGAATCTAGACGGGAGTGCAAAAACGTTCTGAACTCAATGTTACTTTAAAAAAATAATTTCCCAGTAAAAACTTCGCATCGAAGAATAAGCATGAAAACTAACTTTTGATATCCTCTGCAACATGCAAAATTCTGATGCAACGTTGACCAAACATCCACCGAAAATCATGAAAATACAGGGTTATGCGCAGGCGCAGGACGTTCTGCCGACGTGCTTATTAAAATGGATCTCCCTGAGTGACGTCATCCGAACATGACGTCACTCTGGTTAGTAAACCCACGTGGAAGTTAACCCTACCTAGACGGGGGGGGGGCTAAAAGTGCCCGCGCCAACTTTGATGTCATTTAGCGTCAGAACGGCTAGTGCTAGAACGGCGAAAGTTGGTGACTTTTTTTCAGAATGTTGTTGGCAACAATTATATATTATTGGAATAAGACAATAATTTTTTGGGTTGCCATGGCATCGGGTTTCTGACAGCCATTTTATGCTAGATTTAGTAATTTTTGTTTCAACAATAGAATTTTATGGGTTTTATGTCAAGTTACTCATGGTTTCTAAAATTAATAACATCCCTTATAATTGTATGTAAATTTAATTATTAAATATGCAAAATTTATGCTAATTTGATGATGTCATTGGCCAAAATCTAAGATGGCATACCATATCATTAGGACAGGTATATACAGGTTATTTCCATTACAATTTCGTCAATACTTCCATTTCTTTTTCGAAAAAAGATGAAGGTCTTTAGTATGTTTACAATGTATTTTAGGCTTTATCATGAAAAAAAAATATTTTTGAAAATTCAAAATTGATGATCCAAGATGGCGGATATCTTAAATTGGCATGACGTCATTTTATGACGTCACCGGTGTTGCTATGGGCAACATAAGACTTAGTACACCCTTATATTCTGTCATAAACACTTTTGGAAAAGTGTTTATGTTTGAATAGGGTTGACTGTACATGCAGCAGTAGTAAGCTTATCCACATGTGAACATTTTATATTCAGGAATGACAACGTTTACAACGTTTATCATAAATGCCCACTATACAAGGTATATGATTACCAATCATTCAAATAAAACTCGACATCTAGTTATGACGGACGGCATTATACAATAACTAAAATACTTCATCTTCATCGCCTCAAAGATGTTATGTGAGCCCCGGCTACACCCCCATATAGGCCCTGATGGGACACTTTAGGGGGCACTTATACCTTGAACAACAAAGCTGAATATGTACAGGTAATATTTGAGGGTTTAAAGCGAACTAATAATCTTCAAGCAGTATTATCAAAGGCAGATGCATTCGAATGATTCTGATTCAATACTGGTCTATCTTTCAAAAACCTGATCCTGAGATATACAATGTAGTCCATTTCCCTTCCGTCCCTATCGCCATCATCCCCTAGAAAGTCGATTTGCTGATGGTATGGCAATGATATTCATACTTATTACACACTTATTACTACAAATTAAACAGGTCATGTACAAATACAGAGAATAAATAATGAAATTGAATTAGTGGTATCCAAGCTTCACATGACTGACAGTTTGTATCACAAAAATTCGATGTACCGCATGCAACCGCTACAAAGGACAGCATCAGAATGTGCACTTATTTTTTCAAGACTTCAACACTTTACAAGAACTTGACGGCAAAACCCAGAACAAGCATTGAGCTTACTCTACTGTCGATATGCTGATTGTGTGACAATGATATTCGTACTCAACAAATTAAAACAAACGAGAGCAGAAAACACACAATTGCATTGGATTATTGGTATCCAAGGTTGACTGACTGAAAGTTTGTATCAATAAAATCCGATGTACGAGTACAGCAGGTAAACGCTACAAAGGACAACATCACCATGTACATGTTGGGGCTTGGGCATGTCTGCTACATATATGTATGACAACGTTGGTGCATGCGCACACGTCTGTAAAAGTCAAGAAATGACATTTAGAGTTCTCCCGTAAGTCTGAATGGATTTGTTTGGTGTTTCTGCCTACCAGATCAGATTGCTTCATTTTCCACGAAAATGAGTCTGGCTCTTGCAGAAAAACAAAATGCCATACGCAAGACGTCATACCACGTCATCCCTCCAAATACGGGCAAAGATACCCTTCCTTCTCAGACCAATCTTGGAATCCTTGTGTATATGCATGCGCCTTGACGTTAGTTGTTGTACTGCGTACGTACCTGCTGTCGGCAGAGTCGAAATGTACGAGCAGGCAGAGCCTGTCCGGTCGCCTTTCTCCGGCCCCGACAGCCGCCAAACCAGCGGGCCGCCCAAACCCCGTCCCGTCCGTCAGAGTGGTTCACGCGAGCGTGTCCGCCACGGCAACGGCGCTTCTGACAATCAGCGGGAAGACGCCGAGGAGGTGAAACGTTACGCATCGTCTGCAGGTAATCGGCGCTTTTCACACCTGCCTTTTACAGTGGATATTTGTACTATCAGAAGAACTTTTCCTGTATCAATTGTATGTGAACACTTCCCGTATACTTTGATGTGTGGGTAAATTTGATGACAATGTTGACATATTTGCATGTTGACCTAAGCGACAACCTTAGCGAAATATGTTTTCCTACCAGACCGCACGTATCCGGGTAGAGCGAGCGGCCGCCGGGGTGTCTGTAGCTTCCTTCGCGCCCGACGCAGCTGCCTAGCCGCCGGCATCGCCGTACTACTGAGCCTAAGCGCCGTGGGACTCGCCCCTTTGACGTTCAGCAACAAACAGGTAACAGTCTTGTACCATAAAGCCTGCTGTCCAGCTATTATTCTCATGCTCATCTCATTTTGTTTTAATACATTTCATTTTGTACAATATTTGCTTTTGTTTTTTGTCAGATTGTTTGTTACGTTCAGTATTCTGAAATGTGTATACATGTTTGTAGGAAATATCACAATTGTCGACCGCTGTTGACGCCTTGAAGCGTCAACTGTCCACCACTGTTGACGCCTTGAAGCGCGACCAAGACGACATGTCCGCCACTGTTGACGCCTTGAAGCGTGACCAAGACGACATGTCCACCACTGTTGACGCCTTGAAGCGCGACCAAGACGACATGTCCGCCACTGTTGACGCCTTGAAGCGTGACCTGGACAACGAGCGCAACCGGATCGCCACCTTGGAGCAGCGTCTTCACGAGATTGAGAACGGGAAAACTTTGGGTAAATTGCTTTAGATGTCATGCTTGCTCCTTATATTAGTCTGTTATGTGCCAACATCATTAGTTTGAAAAATAAATAATATTGTACACCACGTGTGGGTAGATAAAATATGTTTTACTGTGTCATATTGAATAGTGGTTATCGAATACAACCCATAGTAGAGATTTATTGTTGATGAAGCATATATTGCATATATGTCTTCAAGTTGATTTTAAACATGATCACATCCTTTGCCTGTTATTTATACAAAACGTGTTTTCCAGTATCTTGTCCCGAAGATTACACCAAGTGGCGTGGGATCTGCTACAAGGTCTTCAACACACTGAAGACCTTCAGCGAAGCGGCGGGGGCCTGTCGCGAAGACGGCGGCACCCTCGCCATGCCCCGAGACGCGGACATCAACACCTTCCTCATCGCCCTGTGTAAGTCCGTGAGCGACGCTTGGGCCTTCTGGTTCGGCCTGCACGATCAGCGCGTAGAGGGAAGTTACGAGTGGGTGGACGGCTCTCCTCTTGGGTCGTACAACTCTTGGGCTCCGGGAGAACCGAGCAACTTTAAAACTGCCAATGGGGACCAAGATTGCGTCCTTTTCTCCAAATACCGATCACAGAAAGGCATGTGGCACGACCATGGCTGCCACCTGCGATTTTACTTCATATGCCAGACTGCTCCAGGTATTTATCGTATCTACACTATTTCCTTAAACCCTTTCATGTAAAGACAATAAAATAAAAGACATTTATTGTACATTTTTGCTCATTGCCCATCAGGATAGACCATCATTGCTCCTGTCACAAACCATGTCTGAACGAAATCATTCCACATCTCATTCCTGATAATTTTCATGAAAGTTCATCTGTGTTGATAGTTACATGTTTAAAGTTAAAACTTTTGATCGAACACAACCTTTCATTGAACTGCGACGGGGCCGACATCTTCTACCAGATACCTTTGACCCAGTGTTCACGTCACATATCAAAGAAGCCACGTGACAAGCCTCAATGGGTCAGTCTACTGAGGAAGACCAGAGTGCCTGGTCGAAAACTCTAGGTGAGAGAATTTTTTGTGTTGGATCAAAAGTTTTAACGTGACCCTGATGATTATCATTGTTGTTTTTTCAGAACGTCCATAGGAGACAGGCGGGAGTCCCACCGCTACTGTAGAGCGGCTCTCTGGTCATCCGCAGTTAAACTAAGTAGTAGAATTTAACTAAGACCGCGAATTACAGGATCAGTTTAGATCAGGATTTTTTAAAAATGTTCCCACAAGATTTTTTTTTATTTTATAGATATTCCAACATCTAATTACAAGACGTGGTGGCGGCACACTCAAGTTTTTTCAACTCATATGAATCCCGCCATCAACACAGGGGACAATACAATACTCATTTTTACCAGAGCGAAGAGAGGAAAGTCGTGTATGTAAAATGCCTTTCTCATGGGCACAAGATCGGTGGCATGTCAGGACTCGAACCCGGGACCTCTTGATTCCGAGTCGAGCACTCTGCCGCTAGGCCACACGACCCCACGAACCCGCAAGTTTAATCTCGCTTGTGCCCTCACTTTGAACTTTCTCGGCCAGGACACGTTTTGCCACTAATACGGAAGCAAACCACCCTTTCTTCCTGCATACTCCTTTTCTCAGGAGGAAGTTCCTCGCTGAAAGCTTCTTTCCTAGAACTACATCACCATAGAAAAAGCTTCCCTGTGAATGTTTCCTAACTGGATACAATCTTAAACTTTTCAAGTCTGAGGTAAACAAACACCTGTCTTTACACTCCCTTTTCGTAACCCAAAACATGTTAGTGATTCGTATAAGCCTTGTTCAGACGTGAAATTGTAGTAAGGCCATGTTGATTTGATTATATGGATGACATCCGCGCGCGCATGAATTTTCGGCCGTTTCCAAAAAAAAAAAAGTTTTCAACCATACTGTAAATCGTGCAAAACAGTTGCTAAATGAGCAAAAATATACCATAAGTTGCAAAGAAAACATTTAGAAACGATACCAATGTCGTAGAATGCCAAAATCAAAGGAAAAAAGACAAAAATGTAAAGAAATGAATTCGAAGAGTAGATTATTCGCCATAACATATTCTGTGTCATTTGTTCAACCTTCATGACCACGTAGATTTCATAGTAAAAACCAACTTTTTTTTTTGCAAAACTTTTTTTTTTATTCGCACGCGCGCATCAGTTTTGGGGTTCCCAGAGGATGTCATCCATATAATCAAATCAACATGGCCTAAATAGAAAAAAAAAGTCTGCAGATGAAAAATACTGAATAGAATGTAATGAAGCAGTACTGTACAATTGTTTAAGCTTTAATTTCCACACGGAGAGAATTTACAGTTTACGTTTCATGTCTATTTATAACATGATTGACATATTTATAATCTAGTGTTGTATATTCCGTATAATCTAACATTCCCTTTATTACTTTACCCCAAGAGAGTGAAGTGTCGCTTTGAGCTTAGCTTACCGCTAGTGGTTAGGATTTGGCGCACTCGCAGCCAAGGCCCGGGTTCTATTCCCGGTGTAGGAAAAAGGTCTCAGGAGAAAGTTCCACGCTGAAAGCTACTTTCCTAGAACTACATTAGCATGGAACAAGCTTCCCTGTGAATGCTTTCTAAATGGATACAATCTTAAACTTTTCAAGGCTAAGGTAAACAAACATCTGTCTTTACAGTCCCTTTTTGTAACCCAAAACATGTTAGTGATTCGCATAAGCCTTGTTTAGAGGTGAAAGTGTAGTAAATAGAAAAAAGTCTGCACAGGAAAAATACTGAATAGAATGTAATGAAGCAGTACTGTACTATTGTTTTCACGCTTCAATTTCCACACGGTGAGAATTTACAGTTTACGTTTCTTGTCTATTTATAACATGATTGACATATAATCTAGTGTTGTATATTCCAAATAATCTAACATTCCCTTTATTACTTCACCCCAAGAGAATGTCGTTTTGAGCTTAGCTTACCGCTAGTGATTAGGATTTGGCGCTCTCATAGCCAAGGCCCGGGTTCTATTCCCGGTGTAGGAAAATAATTTTTGTCTTCGTCAGAAGGACTATGAAATTGTCTCGCCGCATTGTGGGAACTGCGGATTTTGCGATATAACTCTGGCAGGCATAATTTGACGTCCATGATTTTTGGCAGGCAGATTACCGTTGTTAAGGCCGAAGTCAAGTGCAAGTTTCGGCTTTGTGGGGGGTCCGTGCGTCATGTTAGTGCACCTTTTGTGTTTGTGGCTTGTTAGCAAAATAACTCAAGTATTTGTAAAATGCTGCTTATAATTTTTGGTAGACAGATTACTATTGTTGGGACCAAGGTTAAGTTCGTTAATGGGCTTTGTGGGGGGTTTCGTTGTCACTGTAGCGGACCTTTTGTGTTTAAAACTTCCCCCACCACCTCTGCTTTGAGACAGCCGACAGCTGGATATAGCCGGGAACCCCATAATGGGATGGGATCAAATGACGTTACATTTAGGGATTGTACTATAAGTTCAGCAGGGGGAGGATAGGTTGGACATGTGAAAGGTTATTTTCTACGGCCACACCAAGTAATTGCTATGGATGACGTCCACTGGAGACCTTAAATTTAATGTTAAAGCGCAATAAAAATATGAAGGGCTGAAAAAGGAGATGGAATTTGGAATGTACTAACTGTAAAAATACAAATGTTATGACACAAGTCACACAAGTTGAATAAAAGAACGCAGTGTAACAAGAAACAAGTCTTCTATTCGTCATAAAGATAAATTAACAAAACAGCAGTAGTCGCCCTGTTCTGATTCTTTCCTTTATCACATCTTCTGTTATTATATTTTGCGACACTGTCGTGACAATTTCATCATAATACAGTAACAAGAATTTCGTGAATCTTCAGTGGCACGGTCAGTACAAAATGACAAAAATACGCCATCACTTTATTAGTATCATGTATGTAGCTTAACTGATGCTTGATGATTTGATAGAACTTAGGCCAAACAAAATATTATAGATCCGCTGCGTTTGATAATTCAAACACATGGAAAAGGTACGCAAGAAAGAGACAGACATGAATATATTTACGTTATACATGTAGATCTTATTGGCATAATCATGAGAAATATATATTTTATTAATACATTTAAAAACGGGAATCTTATATTTGAGGCACTTGGAAGTTATGTGAATGTGAGCATAGTTGAATACAAAATATGTAAATGCGGATCTAATTTGCATAATCTAACATCACCGGTGGAACAAGAGGGTTAGGTAAAACAACATTATATTATGAATGGTATTTGTCAGAAAAGTGATTTCCTGCACTTATTTCGTCAGTCCGTCTTGTCCATGCCAGCTAGCTCCTAGCGTTGACAAATTGGCCGCCGCCAATTTTCCACTCCCCGCCTTCGCAATGACGTAACTGCGAAGTTCTAAAGCGTTCGTGCGTTCGACGCAATTCGATCTTGGTGCTTTTCTCAGTTTTCTTGCGTTTCCCGCATACAGATTAAAAAAAGTTCGGGTGTTTGAGGGTTAAAAAAATTGGCCTCGTCTACTTGTAGGTTATACGATCCGTCAACAGCCGGGCGTAGGATTGTGCGCATTGATATATCGGTGCTTTTAAAAGACTATTTCTGTGGTCAGTTGTGCTAAAAAATACATGGCAGAATAGTTAAAAGGCCGACATTTGCTTTGGAGCAAATGCAGCAAATGGCTTTACCACAACCTCCGTACCAAAAATGGGCCTGTTACATTGATAAGACTATATAGTCTTATCAATATACTATGAAGTGACAAATAACTAATACAACAGTTGGATAGCTATCCCCTACATTATTGGCAAGAATTTTTATTTCCATGATACAAACTGTTGATTTTCAAGATAAAAAGCGTTTATGCCCCACATTCCAATGTTATATATATAGAGAGCAGGAGAGTTTGACATATAATTTTACACCTTACCCCCTGGGATAATATCGCAAACTATAAATAAACACGATGTAAGAAATACATAGCATCCATTGATGACCCCCAAGGGATTAATCTTAATACGCAAGTTCATGTATAATTATGTGGAAGCGTTATACATAAGGTTTCAGTGGTTTACCTGTGCCTTACTATAATTTAAGCTTTCGAATTCGGATTACGCACATCAAATTTACAAAAAAAAATGTATGTAATACTGAAGGCAGCGAAAAAAGGTTAAAACTTACAACCAGCCATATTCATATTCAAAATTCTGCCAACGTGACGTTTTAAACATTCAAATTTGTCTGGCTAGTGTTTCTAAACATCATAGGTTTGGTGCGACCGTGAACTTGTTTTTTTTCCTTTGAAGTTGTTCTGGTAAGACCTCATATGGGATTGTGACTCTCCCTGTAATACTTTCATGGCTTCCGATTAGTCTGAATTTTCGGACGTAGCCATTTTGTCGTATTCTGTTGAAATTGAGACTGGAGCGATACGAGTGCTGTCAACGTTGGAACAAGCCGAGAAATTTCGAATTGTTTTCATCAATATTGCTTCAAGTAGAGGAGGTATGTTGCTTAAATATAGAATACAGCACGGGGTATTCCGTATCGCCCGAGGTATCGGCCCGACCGCGGGTCGGATCGCCCGACGGCCGCAGGCCGGAGGGCGATCCGACTCGCGGGAGGGCCGGGACCGAGGGCGATGCGGAATACACCGT